TCTCTGTAAAAAATCAATAAAATATATTTTTAAAAAAAAGAATTCAGAGGAAAATTGCTTGTGTCAAGTGGTAGAACACCCCTCTGGTGCCCACATCACACCCCCAGCTTACCTCGGAGGCAGTTCTGACTTACTTCCATGTCCTGGGTCTTGCTGCACTCTGCTTATTTTTATAAACTTTTATTATTATAATCTTGTCCATCCCTGTTTGGCCCTGACAAGTCTCTAAGGCCCTAGGACACAATTAAGTTTTGCTTTTTTTTTTTTTTTTAATATATATAATTTATTGATTTCAGAGAGGAAGGAAGAGGGGGAGAGAGATAGAAACATCAATGATGAGAGAGAATCATTGATTGGCTGCATCCTGCACACCTCCCACTGGGGATCGAGCCCGCAACCCAGGCATGTGCCCTTGACCGGAATCGAACCTGGGACCCTTCAGTCCGAAGGCCAACACTCTATCCACTGAGCCAAACCAGCTAGGGCTGCACTCTGCTTTCTTTGACTCCACTGAAGCTCCCTGAAACTCAAGGGAGTTTGCATCTCCCATCAGGAGAAACCCTCATCCAACAGAGGAGGGAAGTCAGTGGGTAAACACTCCAGCCTCCTAGCTTCCAGGTGGGTTGCTATGGAAGGCATTTAGCACCTCTTTCAGTGGTCCTCACAGAAGTGAGCCCTTGTTGCCAACAACTTTGATAAAATACCCTTTGCCTTGTCCTCCTGCCCTGTCTTTGTTGAGGTGTATGTTCAGATCTTTTGCCCATTTTAAAAACTGGGTTGTTTTCTTAAGAGATCCTTGTGTAATTTGGGTAACAGGCCTTCTTTATCAGATGTCTTTTGCAAATATTTTCTCTTAGTCACTAGCTTGTTTTCTCATTCCCTTGATTAAAGTAATCTTTTTTAAAAAAATATATTTTATTTTTTTTTACAGAGAGGAAGGGAGAGGGATAGAGAGTTAGAAACATCGATGAGAGAGAAACATCAATCAGCTGCCTCCTGCACACTCCCTACTGGGTATGTGCCCGAAACCAAGGTACATGCCTTTGACAGGAACCAAACGTGGGACCCTTGAGTCCGCAGGCCGACACTCTATCCATTGAGCCAAACGGGTTAGGACGATTAAAGTAATCTTATATGCATAGTTGTATTGGATTCAAAAACACTTAAGGCTCCTGCACACCCCCTACTGGGGATGTGCCCGCAACCAAGGTACATGCCCTTGACCGGAATCGAACCCGGGACCCTTCAGTCCGCAGGCCTGACGCTCTATCCACTGAGCCAAACTGGTCAGGGCAAAACTTAAGGTAATTTAAATGTATAACATGAAGTAATATTTAACAATAATCAGGGTTTATTCTATGTGTATGGTACCTAATATTACTTAATGTATTTCTCTTAAGCTAGAAGTACTTCTATGCTATAATTTATCTTTTATTTTTTTGCTATGCTATAGTTTAGTGTAACATTGCTATAGTCTCTTTTGATTTTTAAATTATGTATAGTCATAGGCCACAGAAATAAATTATATAATTTTATTACATAAAATTAATATATATATAATTTTTAAGGAGTAATATATAATAAAATTGCCTCAAACAATAAATTAAATATTAAAACCATGTTAAAGACAATAGCACTTTCACAATGGCAACTAAATTGTTTAACAGAATGCTGGCCCCACTGGGTGAAAGATATATACAGCAACACCATGCTGTAAACGTTGTTTTGAAAACACGCATTGTGTTGTTCACATTTAATTTATATAGTTATATGCCACTAAGTAAGGAAAAAGTATATTTAATTGAAACAAGCAATAAATATTTACTTAGTATAAAGTTTATTCACATGTTTAAAAAGTGTCTGTAATAGAAAATCCAGTAAAACCAAAACATAATCAAGGCTGTGGGGAAAATGTACATTAAAAAAATGGATTTCTTTTTCCAGATAATGAAAATACTGATACATTTGTACTGTATTGTCTTAAGTTCTTAACCTGATAGGAAAACATTTTTAAACAACAAAAAATGGTGGAGAAATCACACAGTACAGAAGATTGAAGGCATCAATGTGACATATATGTTCCAAAATGTCATACTGGCAATCTACAAAAGAATCTAGTTTAAAAAATACAGAAATTCTAGACACTCTTTTAATAGCATAAGCACTATATGCAACATTCCAAATCAAACTAATAACAATTAATTCACATTCAATTAGAACAAAAACAATATGAATGATATGAAATTGAGCTTTTGAACAGCACTAACATTTTCTTGTTAGAGATTCTCTTGTACATACAGGAAAAGTATACACACAGAAAGTATCTGATAAATAGGAAAAAAATGATTAGAATTTTACAGGCAAAGGGGAAACCAAAGACACAGAGGACACTTTTGTTCTACTTCTTAATTGTTCTGAGAGTTTTCACCCACCCTGTTTTTACACAGAGGGAATATTATTAACAGATGCAAAACTTTCACATTATTTTGTGCTCTCTTTAATTTTTTTTCATTTTGAAAAGAGAACATTCCATGTAGAATTATCTATCTACTGAAGGTATAACATTACAAATGTGTATTTCTCTTTTTCTAGTCCAATTTCCTTTTTTATACCCATATTCCACTCATTTCCTGATTGTAATAGAGGGGAAAACACCTAATTAAACATAAAACTTTGTGTCAAAGTAGATTTAATGGTTAACCCTAATCAGTTACCTAGGGAAGAAGCACAAACAAAAAACTCCACCAAAAATACAATAGGAATAGGAAAGGGTGGATATATGTCAGAAATATATGTCAATAATTTTACATTGAGATATTTTCCTTTCAAACATTATAAGCATTTGTCAGTTGTGGCCGACGCTCTATCCACTGAACCAAACCAGCTAGGGCACATATACTAGTATATACTTTTATATATAGGTTCATATATTACATATGACAAATGCTTATAAATTCCTCATATAGATTTAGAATTAAACAACAACATCCCTGGATTTCATAATTTGAGACAGTCTAATTCTATAGTTACAAGTTGGGCCTAGAAAAGTGTGCTTGTTCATTATAAACCTAGCTCTCACCAATATGTTAGATTTTGGGCAAGTTAGCCTATGCCTTAGTCTGACTGTTACAAAGTGAGCAAAGTAGAGTTTGCCTCTGACCTGTTAAAGTAAGTGCAAAGTGCAAGGTTCAAAGTTACATGAGAAAAAGTGCTTACTTGTAAAAGCCAAGTTATGACTAACAGTTAAATTTTTATAGGTAATATAGGAGGCTCTATAAGGACCACTTTTCCTAATTCTATGTAAATGTTACTAAATTATTTCTTTGTGACAGACAAGCAAACAAAGAGACACAAGAATCTAAAAAGGATAATGCCTTTGGTAGTCTGTAATGGTGAAGGTATTGCTTTTATGTGCCTTAAGATCATGCTGTCTTAAAGGAGAGACACATACACATATGGTAACATGACTTATACTTTCTAAATATTCAATTTGGAAGGAATTATCAGTCATGTGAGTTTAAGTCTCACCTCTGTAAAAATTATAAAACAAAATACAATTTTACAAATGAGCTTTAATAGAAAAATGCAATGCCTGGTAAAAACATAAAGAACAGAATTTTCTATTTCTCAGGAGTATATTTCTTTTCTTTGTCTTTCTTTTGTGTGTGTGTGTGATTCTGGATCTCTTTATTACATGCAATAGTTGGATTTCTTGAGCTCCTGCAAGGAGGAAACAAATTACACATACATACACACCCACCTACATAAATTTGTGCACACACATTCACTCCAGAGGTTACTAGTAGCCCTACGCATGAGTGCGCGAGTAGCTCCCTGCCACTTGCCTCAGCTGGCCACCCCGCCCACCGCCACTGGTAGCTCTCCACTGCTGGTAGCTAGTTGCCCCGCCCTCCGCCCTCCTGTAGCTCTCCGTGCCCGCTTGTAGCTCGCTGCTCCACCCCCACCTAGAGCTCTCTGCCGCTTGTAGATTGGTCGTGATGTTATGGCGTCCTGGCTAATTTGCATATTCCTCTATTATTACATTAGATACTCTACTACATTATTTTTTGTTTGTTAACCCTCACCCAAGGATATTTTTCTATTGAATTTTAGAAAGTGGGAGTGGGAAAGACAAAAACATCAATGTGAAAGAGACACATCAATTCGTTGCCTCCTGCACACACCCCAACCATGGCCAGGGATTGAGCCTGCAACCGAGGTACATGCCCTTGACTGTAATCAAACTTGGGACCCTTCAGTCTGCAGGCCAACACTCTAACCATTGAGCCAATTGGCTAGGGCAACTCTACTACATTCTTAAGGAGAGACTGGTCACAAATACGATTAGAAGGAGAGATAAAATATAAGTTAAAATGGTTACTGATGGTGTTTTGTGTCCAGACATTAAGAGATACAAGGGGTTGCTGGTAACTTTAACCAATATTATATTTTAATAGCAGAAAAGTAAATTACTTTTTCTAGGTTCTGAAGCTATTATTTAGAAAAATCACATTTTCAAAATAAATAATTATATATAGTTATATATAGATAATCTTATATAATAAAAGCATAGTATGCAAATTGTCCCCTTGACCAGAGTTATTCCGGGAGTTCAACAAGGGGGCAGGCCAGCCAGGGGAAGGGAGGGAGGCCCCAGCCGGCAGCTGCTAGGGACCCTACCAGTGCACAATTTTCGTGCACCGGGCCTCTAGTTTAACAATAAAATAGGTGCATCTACTTAGTAATTTGGGTAACTTTATCAAATTCTAGCCACTCCTAAATTTGAGGCCTGTTTATTTGTTAGTATAACACTCTTGAAAATCCTTGTTATTACAATCCTCTAAAGATCGAACTCTCTAGCAAGTGTGTTGTTGTTTTTTTAGAGAAAATTACTGATCCCACTCCTCATAATGAAACATGACTGATAGCAAGAATTAACAACTAAAACCGGCAATATATGGTGAATGCCATTTTATAATTTAAAATATAAAACCAAGTGATTATATTAAGACCACCAATTTATAATGAAGTATCAAATTCTTTGAAGTTTTGCAACCAATAAGAAAGCCTAATAAAGCGTGGGCCCAATATTATGATGGGATAATCTAATGATTACAAATTCTTACTTTTAAAATATTCAACACAAAAAATCTACAACCTTTATCTACCACAAAGGATACAGATATTTCATCAGTTCTACTTATGACATCCATACTACAGATTTTTTTTTTGAATCATTAAAATAAACAAGAAAAAAGTGCTCTCTTCTTAACTGCAAAGATATGGAGTCCAAGCTTCTTATCGGGTTGATAATGATCAAGTTCAGGTTCAAGATGCCGACAGAACTTCTGTGGTGTAGTACTCATGCTTATTCCTCCTTTACTTCTTGCAGTTTGTCATAAAGGGCTGAACTGACGTGTCTTTATGGCTCGGGAAAAATGAACCATTCAAATAACACGAATCTCCTTTACCACCAAGATGGCAAGGTGAGCTTAGTGAGATGGGAGTGACAGAGACTTTTTAAATACCCTAAACCCTTTTGTTGACCCAGGATAAGGCGGTGGTGGCGAAATACTGTGTTTTCTGGTCAGTGCTACTGCCTGTTCATAAGAAGGTAATTCTATGTCCTCCACTGGAGGTGCTGATGGAAACAAGACAGCCTCCTCAGGTCTTCTGAAAATGATGGAGGGAGTCTGCCTTCCTCTTCTTACGTAGGTGGCTGAAGAACTAAACAGAGATACAGCATTTAAGTCTAGAAAAGGCGGCAGTTTTAGTTTAAGATGGCAACATTTAAAAATCCAACTGACTAATTTTATAAAAGTTGAACCTAATTTATTAATATAACAACAGGTTTCTAACAACAGAAAGAGTCTTTCTTGGTCTAGTGAAAAGATCAAGAGCTTTAAAGTCAGACATAGGTATGAAGCCGGATCCTGGCATTTGTTAGTCATGTGACCAAAGGCAAGTTAACCTAACTCTGTAAAGGGGGAATAATAACAGCTACCTCTACAGAAGGACTCAAAATATGCTACTTTCCCTGGATGAAAACTTTCTCAAAGTATGGCGTGAAACCAAACCCAGGTTTTGTTGAAAGGCAGCTCAACGCCAAGTCAAGGAAACCAATGCCACCGATAATCACAGCAGCTGATGTCTGTCTGTCTCCTTTGTCCCCCTCCCGAAGTCCTGCTGCCTGATGCGTAGGTCCCTTCTAAACAGTTCCTTCATCGCATCACTCTTCTCTGCAGAAGTCTAACCTGCAGCGTTCTTCCCATTGAGTCGAGTTCTAACTCCTGTACCTCCTTTTCAAAGCCTCCCTTATTCTGGCCTCATCCTGCTTTTTATAGCTCTCTGCTCTTGCCAAGGTCGCCTCTTTAACACTCCTCAGTATGCGCAATGAACTCTGTGCATTCACTGGTATGGTTCCCTTCCTCACATTATGTCTTTTTCCCACTCCACTGATCTAAGCCCAACAATGAAAAAAAAATATATGGCCTAGTTCTAGTCCCACCATTTTCACAAAACTTTGTCAGCTACACCAGCCGATGAAAATTGAAATGCAATATGGGTCTGATGTTTTGAACCTACCTTTTCCCTCCTCACTTGTAAATTACAAAATGATAATCGAAACATTAGTAAATGGATCTGTTTAGGCTGTGAAGCTGGCTAATCTATGCATAAATTAACCTCCTACAGTTATGGCTAACAAGATAATTAAAATTCATAGGTAATCCCCAACCTCTAGTCAATATTTACAACATCCTCCCCAACAAGAGACAGTTTAGCAGACTCAAAATTCTGTAAACTTTTCCAAACTAAGTAAGTCCATTTGCACCTTAAAACACCCTTTCCTTCAGAGGTAATAATGAGATCTGAAATTGGAGGGAAGGAGAGAAGAAAAAGATCTGTGTAAATCTAGGAACTGGATAATCAGCCCGTCGATAATTGAGAGGTGACTGAGATCATTACACGTTTACTTCGAGGGCTGAACACAATTCCTCCTCTGTCAGAAATCTGGAATGTTTTCATGGTAGGCTAGTCACTTGCCACATTCACTAGCTTGTAACGAAAAGTTCTATTTGTTTGCTTATAGGGAACAGATGTTTTATTTGAACAAATAAATTTTTCCATGTCAACTTTTAAAGCTTGAGATATAGAAACAATATAATAACTGCATCAAAGCCATTAAATATCTACACAGCTATTTCTTACATACACCTTAGATGAGTGAAACCAGAAAGTATGCACCAATAACATCTCAAATAAATGGACATCATATTACACCTATTTTACTCCATAAAGTAAGAAACTAAGAAATGAAAAGATCTTGTTTCCAATTTCTTGGCATGTTTTTACAGAAGAATGAGACAAACTTTTCTGACAATGATCTTATTTTTCACTCTGTTTCAAATATTTCCTCACCCTTCCCCCATTTCAGACTTGCAAAATATAGAAAGAAAACAAATAACTCTGCTGGAAGAATTTCTTAGGACAATAGATGAAATGTACTTTAGTAAGTATCTAAAAGCTAATCCCAACAAAGGAGAGTATTTGGTAAACCTAGTTTGAAATGTCCCCTAAAATGCAAAGGGTCGCTGTGAGGGTTAAAGTGAGACAATAGATGTAAAAATGATCTGTGAACTGTACAGCACTATACTGTACTAATATTAAATGTAACTATTTTTTTTTAAAAGCTGACATTTGTGAACCTTCTTGTATTCTTTTGAAGGACCAGCGTTTTTTATTTTTAATTTTAATACTTGGAAATACTTTCTGTCTGTTAAATAAGGGAAATTAATAGAAGTCATACAGCATAAAAGATAGTGGCTTAAGAAAAATGGAACCAATTCTCCTTACTTCCTCTCACTTCTCAGATTTCTGCAGGATTTACAGAAGTCCGACACACTCCTTAGTCCATGCCCACAGGTCAGATGAATGCCTCAGGGAGCTTTTTGGGAATTCCAGTTTGGGGACAGAATTACAATTTATGTTGCCCCTGTCCTCTGCCCTCTTTGCTGGCATGTCTCCTGTCTGCACCCTTTCTGTGGGCATCCTTACGGGCTCAGTCCTTTGCCTTCTGTTCTTCCATCTCACTCAGAACTTGCCTATTCTCATGGCTTCAGCTTTTATCCTCCAACAGATGAATTCTAATTCTATATTGTTGCCCTAAACTCTGACCTTAACAATACAGAAAAAAAATTTATTGTGATAAAATATATATAACTTAAAATTTGCTATATTAGCCATTTTTACGTATACAATTCAGCAGTATTGATTATATTCACAATGTTCTGTAATCATCACCATTATCTAATATCCATAACCTTTTCATCACCTGGTCACCATCATGCACTTGTTCACTTAATTTCAAAGTGTAAATAGGAATATATAAGCACCAATTTTGAATAGTCTGTTTAGTATCTGGTGCTTTTAAAAATAACATTATTCTATGCTTACTCATCTATATGTATTGAGAAGATAATACAGAAGCTAATAACTTTTTATTCCTATAAGTACATTGAGGTTCTATTATGTAAACAAGTACTGCTTTTATGAATATTCATGAAACTTTATTAATGTGCTATTATCTTCAAGTGGGTAACCATTTTATTTTATTAATTTTTATTTGATTTAAAGTATCAGTAAAAATAACTGAATTTAAAAGCTATTCTTTTTCTATTTGGGTAGCCACATGGCTAGATCTGATATCACTGTGACTCAGACTAAACTATGGGACTTCTTGCCTATGTGGGGACACTGGTATCTGCCTCCTGCTCAAGAAGAAAACATCGCCCAGCCTGTAGAGTGGTTCAGTGGTTGAACATCAACCTATAGAGGTCAGGGTTTGACTCCTGGTCAGGGCACATGCCCAGCTTGCAGGCTCGATCCCCAGTGTGGGGCGTGCAAGAGGCAATCGATCAATAATTCTCTCTTATCATTGATGTTTCTATCTCTGTCTTCCTCTCTAAAATCAATTACAATTTTTTTTTTAAAAAAGAAGGAAACATTGAAAATTCAATCTGATATTTGGGAATCTTCTTGTATTCTTTTGAAGGACCTTAGAAACAGCATTTTGAAGTTTTTTATTTGTGTTAAATTAGGCAACCAAACAACTTATCATATACTAGAGGAAACTGGGGACACATGACAACTAAATGCAATGTACTATCTTGATTGGCTCCTAGAGCAGAAGGAGGACAATCATGTAAAAATTGGTGAAGTCTAAATGAGGTCTGGAATTTAGTTAATATTAATGTACCAATGTTGTTTTTTTAAACTTTTATTTTAGTTTGTTAATCCTCACCCAAGGATATTTTTCCATTGATCTTTTAGAGAGAGTGGAATAGAGAAGGAAAGACAGAGAGAAACATCGAAGTGAGAGAAGCACATTGATTAGTTGCCTCCTGCACATGCCCTAACCCGGGCCCAGGCCAGGGAGGAACCAGCATCCGAGGTACGTGTCCTTGACCAGAATTAAACCCGGGATCCTTTGGTCTGCAGGCCGATGCTCTATCCACTGAGCCAAGCCGGCCAGGGCCCAATGTTGTTTTATAAATGTACTATGATAACATAAACTGTTAACAATGAGGGGAACTGGGTGAAAGATATATGATACTTCTTTGAACTATCTTTATCACTCTCCTGTATATCTAAAATTATTCCAAAATAAAAAGTTTATTTAAAAAACAGGCAGTCATTTTAAATCCACTTAAAAATAACAGTACAGAATGTGTAATAGTGAATTAAATATTTTCATTTGGTACTTACCCTGGATGTCCTTGCCGGTTACACTTAGTGATACAAAGATAGTAACCAAGTAATCCAAAAATAACCAAAAATACTCCAGCAGCAATTAGTCCAGTCAGAAGGCCCAAAACGTCAATTTTCTCTCTGTTTCCACCTTAAGAAAAATCATTAAAATAACGTAAATATAACAACTGAAAAGCCCTACCTGTGATAGGTCTAAGCACAATATTAAGCATCAAATAATTAATATTAATTTTTAAAAAATCTTTGTGCTAAACATATGACCTAAAGAATTTTAAACAGCCCTAACCGGTTTGGCTCAATGGATAGAGCGTCGGCCTGCGGACTCAAAGGTCCCAGGTTCGATTCCAGTCAAGGGCATGTACCTTGGCTGCGGGCACATACCCAGTAGGGAGTGTGCAGGAGGCAGCTGATCGATGTTTCTAACTCTCTATCCCTCTCCCTTCCTCTCTGTAAAAAATCAATAAAATATATTTTTTTAAAAAATAATAATTTTAAACACTTCCTGAAAGCCCTAGTTATGGTTTTCTTTTAAATAAGTCATATTAAATGAATAATATTCAAGACTAAGTGGGATAAACTTAAACTTTGTTCCACTAGGCACACTTTGATAGTAACTACTAAGATAAATGTATTGAGCAACTCCAGTGTAGCTGTGTAATATAATCTCCCTATAAGCTTGGGCCCTACACAAGAGGAATGAAAGAACAGCTGGCAAAAAACCTACCTAAAAGTCAACTAGAGGTGATCAATATAGATAAAAGACAGGATGGTCCCTCTCTAGAAGTTACTTCATACTACCTAACAATCTTAACTTACCTAGTAACATATGATTTCCATTCACTTGTAATGGTAAAAAAAAAAAAAAAAAAAAAAAAAAAAGAGACAAAACAATTAAAACAGTTTACTACTTTAAAGCAATGGAGTACAACTTTTATTCTGTGCAAGTCTTGACTTAGCTGAGCTGTTTAAAGCAGCTTTAAACCTATTATCTCATTTCCCGAGTATCTCACCAAACTTGATTTTCATTGTATAAACAGATGAATGGGGCCTTTTCTATCTTAGATAGCCCAGTGTATAATTGAGAAAATTTCCTTGAATTTACAAGGTAAGCATGTTGAGCAACAACCAAACTCAAATAATGAAACTAAATGTATTATAAAAGAAAGGGTGTGGGAAAAACATTATTTAATCAATTCTTGTCTTACCTGATATTGTGGTTGGTCCTTTAATTGAATAGTCCTGCCAAAATGCCAGCTAAGAGAAAGAGAAATTTTCCAAGTTCATTTGATTTCATTGTCATTTTATTTGGTCCCAATGACCTAGACTAGGGGTGGTAAATTTTTGGCATGTACCACAGGTAAGATACCACTTCATTCAAGCTAAAGGGTGTGACTCACTCTAAGTAAAGCACTACCATGCACTACTGTTTCTCCCAACTCTGGAATGGTCAGGGGATTATTGCCAGTGCCACCTCTCCACCACTGTACCCTGCTATTCTCCCTTCACCTGCCCAGAGCTCCCACTCCGGCATCAGGGAAACTATCGCATTGCAGAGTTGGTGCAAGTGCCAAAGGTAGAAGCTGAGGCAGGAGACTAATTTTTAAAAAGGAGTCTGAATTTTTCTATGCTAAGTGGGACCTCGGTTTGCTAGATTTTATTGAAAGGTATTTATTGATTTAGAAAGACATCCCCAAGGCTGCTTAAGTTCAGTGTTACTTGAGAGAATGGGAGAGATTTTAAGGAACCGTGATAAAATTACAAAATGGGTTTGTGCAAAACAGAATAAAATCTCAACAGGCACCCTTACAAAGTGTAGACTTTGTTTTCCTTCTCTAATACAGGCGGCAGATGTTAGCACGGAGGCTGGACACAGTTTGGGGGGAAAAAGAACTACGTTCCATTAAAACCTGCATTTGAAGGATACCAAGCGAGGTTCTTATTGACCAAAGAGTAAAATGGCACGTTTGAGGAAGGGAAAAAGGAGATGGGGTTATTTAATCTACAAAAGTAAAGAATTTGGGTCATTTAACATTCTTCAAGAAAATGCCAGATTATAACAAGGCCAGTGCTGTCTCTGTTTTGTGCCTTTACAAGATGAACAGACGGGATTTCATTATATTTTAAGGGAGAATGTCTAAAAGTCTCTCCCTTACATTTACAGTGATGCCACACAACCGACTCCTGAGTGCGGGGACTGTATATTTTGTATCTTCAGGCTCTAGCAGAGCACTTGGCACATAGCAGATTGCCAATACCTGAACTATAAATACAGTCATCCAAAAGGTGAGGCCACTGTCCGAAAACACTGCTCAGAGTCTTGGGTTAAAGCCTGTGTCAGAGAACTAACTCAAATTATATCCTGAAGTTTAATTCACTGCTTCATGATTGTTTTTGAAGATAATAAACATTAAGCACACAAAATTACAGCATAACCAATCATTTGCTGATTACTATAAGCCCAGTTAATTAAGTATAAAGCCAAGTCTAAAGTAAAAGCTAATTCGCTTTTTAAGAAAGTAGAAAAGAGATAACAGAGATAGAATCCTAATTTTATTTAAAGCATTAAATCTCTAATGACTGCAAGGGCCATTTTCTTAGGTACGAGTTAGTAAATTTCCAGACAATTAACATCATTAACCAAATTACCGTTTTATCTTCATCCACAAAAATCTCTCTGGCTTCCTCATAATTGCAGAGCTCTTCGATGCACTCTCTTTCTAGGTCACCTGGAGTGAAGAGCTCCAAATCAAATCTATTATATAGCAGGTGTCTATGAATGAAAGAGTTTGCTTCTTCTTTTGATGTAAATACTAATAAAGAAATAGAAAGATTTCAAATACTGATAACAATAAGAAAGAAAATTCCTATTTAAATTGTGAAAAGAGTGAAGAGTTCTCTTGATGTAGTTAAGTTACACCAAACTTTCTCGTGTGGTTTTCAAAGCTGACAAAAAGAAATATCAGTAAAAATAATTCTATCAGTTGAAGCAATTCGTAGATATAGTCTAGTGTTACTCGGCTTGACATGGGTTTAAAATACTAAACCAGCCCTAACCAGTTTGGCTCAACGGATAGAGCGTCGGCCTACGGACTCAAGGGTCCCAGGCTCGATTCTGGTCAAGGGCATGTACCTTGGTTGCGGGCACATCCCCAGTGGGGGGCGTGCCGGAGGCAGCTGAAAAAAAATAAATAAATAAAAATAAAAAAATAAAATACTAAACCAATAATGCAGTACCTCAAAACCTGCCTAACTTAACTATAACTACATGAAATCTAATTTCAGAAAGGAGAATTAGAAATCTGCTTCTGTATTGCTACTTCTCAGATTCGCCCAGATCTTCACATTTTATTGACTAAAAAGCGGTGCCAAATTTCTCATTGTCAGTCTTCTGTTCAAATAGGTTATCTGAGTTATAAAAATATCCCTACCCTCCTGAATGGCACTCAATAAGGCTACTTTCAACTTGAAAGGAATACAAAAGAGAGAGGCGTAAACGTGTTTTATTGTTCCTGAAGTGATGTTTATGCCAGTACAAATCCTCACCCAGAGGCTGTTTGCCACTTCCCTGAGTGTGAAAGTTCCAATTCGGTCAGTGCCTTATCAAACTTTTCCCTGCCTCCCTCACAGTCTTAGGAGAAATGCTGCTTTTTATTGTTTGGGTTCTCAGTAACCCTGAAAGTGCTTATAATTGAAAGAAGCAACCTTCCTTGCTCTGGATCATCCTGAACTTCCCCGAGAGATTCTATTTTCCCTCTGGTCTTTGCACTTTGGATCTGCCTCCTCAGATTCTCTATCCATCTCCATTTCTTCTGCCTTAGACCATTCAAAGAGGCTCTCTGTGCATTTCAGACCCACCAGTCCAAATATTTCATTCTCGTTCTCTCTCCGGTCTCCCCATGTTTTTAAATAAATTCCTTGTAAGTCACTGGCCTTTATCAGAATTTAGCTGTAGGTTTTCCTAGTTACTTTTCATATTTCCATTCATTATATACCTTTTCATATATCTTATTTGCATATAGAGAGCACTGGCTTCTGTGCCATACAACTCTCCTAAGACAGTTACTGCTACACACTTTCCTCTACTCTGTAGGTATCTGTTACTACCTTGTGAGTTTATGGACACTTCCTGTTTACACCCTGCCTCCCAGATCAATGAAGAGGCCCTCCAGGGCAAGGATTACAGCCTTTCATTTCTACATCTCCAGTACACAGCATAGGGCCTGGCGCAGAGTATGTGTTAACAAAATGGTTAATAACTGAACAAGTTGGCTTTTTAAACATACAGGATTCCTCTTTTACATTTCCCACAGATATTGCCAGCCTTTCGCACTCAAGTATGATCTCTAAATTCCTTCCAGAGTTTGTGATATTTTTGAGAGTGTCCTTTTGTCTGTTACTGTGTGCATAGATGAATACATTCACAAGGATTCTGGGGATCAGCATCTGGTCCCACTGGAATGGATCATCAACCTCATATATGAGTGAACTTACATACATGGTACAACTTGGGAGATACCAAGAAGGATCTCCTTCCAAAATCTGTCCTTTTACCATGAGCTATCCAATCGCCTAGAATTCTGTCATCAAGGGTTCAATTCCTCTGGATTAAGATAATTGCCCTATCTTAAAACCCAATCTCTCTCTCTCTCTCTCTCTCTTTCTCTCTCCTAGAAGGTTTAACACACTAAGCTGTATTAATCATTAATAAGTCATCCAGGAGTGTTAGTGTAACAGATCCTTCCCAAATGAAAATGAGCTGAGTAGGATCTGATGAGAAGGGAAGGGATAAGGGACAGGGATGTGTGGGGAAGTAGATCCAAAGTACTAGCGCTGGGTAGGGAAGCCCAATGACAAGGCAGGGAGAAGGATGCTGAGAACCAAAGCATTTTTCCCCCCTTTTCTGTTTTTTCTTTTTTCTTTGTTAGGCTCTTAAAACATGGGCAGGAACCAGTCTATTTATGACCTGGAACCCACAAGGTGTGAAAATATAGGTTAGTAAGCCCCAAACCTAATCTCACAACCATCTGACTATATCCAGAGATTTGAAAAATCAAAAAGGACCTTAGATCATTCCACGCCTCACCCCCATGACTTTACAGATGAAGAAATTCAAGCCAAAAGGCATCAAGTGACTTGCCTAGGGTCTCAACAAGTCCAGACCAGATCTTGGACTCTCTATCTTTCCAGGAAGAACAACTCATTATGTTCATTATAATTACCACATAGCCTCATGTAAACAAAAAAGAGTAAAGAAAAGAAAAATGGCACTCACTGATTTTAGAAGTTGAAATAGGTTCTCCATTCAGGTTAACCACAAACCAGATCTTAAATGTGTGTGTGTGTGTGTGTGTGTGTGTGTGTGTGTTTAATCAAAAGTAACTCAAAATCAGTTGGTATACATTGCACTTAACAAACCACAACATTACCAAATAAACCAAAAATTAAACTAAAGAATATTTTAGTGCTCCTATGATTGACGAGGGCATGTAATTTCAAATACTATGCTTCCTAATTTGAGATCTATAATAGGCGGCTTGGGGTTCCAAGAGGGTTTTCTGGGAAACTGAAGCCACGCTCACCTTCTTCCCCCGCATGCCCAGATGCCTCTGGACCTCTCCTACAAAGAGGAAACGCGATGGTAGCTTCGGGCAGCTGGCTGAGTAGAATCAGAAGCGTCAACATAGTCCAGCAACGGTCAAACAAACTAAAACAGAAACAAACAGACACGTCAAAAAAGCCCCTGGCTCAGCATTGTGAGTTTCTGTAGGACCTGAGTCACGGACCTGTTGTGCTCAAAGCCACGGGACAATTGTGCCCCGCGCGCGGTTTCGGTCACCCGGGTCCAATCCGCGCCCTGACAGCGGCCGCGAAAGTGCCTGGGGACAAACGCC